TCCAGGAAGAAGATGGAGTCAGACTTTTCTTAGCTCCTTTTAAGAATATATAAGGGGATTTTGTAGAGGTTTTTATTTCTTTTAATATCAGTATTGAGTATAATGACTTGATGTAATAAAATGGAGTTTATGCTCCACTATTTAAAAACATCTTAAGGAAAAAAAAAAAAAAAACAGCAAATGAGTTCTTTTGCATTTTAAGATCTTAATATAGCTTTTCAGACTAGGACTGGAATCTAAAAAAAAAAGATAAGGGAGATGCATTCTAAGTTTTTGCTAAAACTGTATGAAACAGGGCACCTAAGTTGCTCTGATTTTTCAAAAATCTTACCCCACAGTAATAAACCTACTGCATCAGGTATCAAATTTTAAAATCAAAGAATCCTGGAATGAGATAAGCAACAAAGACTTGAACATACAGACCTTGCCATAGACAGTGATTATTAGATCAGCTAAACCAAATTAGCTCACCCACAAACAGTATTTCAAAGCTTTATAAAGGACAAAGCCACCTGAAATACCCAGCAAAGACTTATTTCTTCCTGCAGAAAATACTTCTCCTGAACAACCAGCAGCACGAGTATAACAAGATCCATGAATCAAGGTAATTTCGTCTTCCCCACTGCATTCCGGCGTGCCCAGTAGTCATATTGAAAAAGTTATTCAACATCAAGCTTAGTGTTGGTAACTACTGCACACAAGGTTCCATTTTGGTTTTAATAAAAGAAAAGAAAACAAAAAACATAGGCTCCCATTCTTGACTCTTACCTATTGCTTGGAAGGGAATCCGAGACCGCCGAACTGCTATTATTAGCAGACCCTGCTCGTGTATTTACCTGCAGGCAGGGAAAGGATCTTTATCAGTCGTTTGTGTTCAGAGGACACTATTCTAATTAACCTGTAATTTGCCATGAATTTCTCATTTCACTATGAAGGTTAATTAGCTTGTTGCTAGGCACGCCGATGGTCGAGGTCTCGCCTGTATGTAGGTTAGCAGGCTATAGAACTCATGGACTACAATATACCATCTTTACATCTTCTATGCTCAGTTAAATAATACAGAAAAAGAGATGACATGTCCACCATTTATTAGCATTTTAAAAACTAAGCAATCATTTAATGTGTTTGCAGTTCTCTGCATTTCCAAAGGAGTAGGACTACAGAAGCAAGAAGCCTGCCCGAATGAATCAAACTACCCAGAAGAATTTCCTTGCAGTGCCTTCCACACTTAGATAAATTACTGGAATCAAATTAATACCGTGTGGTTTTTTAGACGCTTTGAAGTAGTGGCAGACATTAGTTGATAAACAATATTAAAATTTAGGAACCTTATTAATGGGGGTTAAAAACAAAAAGGAAGGCAATTCCATTTTTAATAAAACTATATATAGATAGCGCAGCAACACCCAGCAGATGAATCCTCCTCCCACCCTCACAAAAAAAAAAAACACCACAAACTTAAAAGAAATCTGCTTGTCAGAGCTCAAGAAAGTGCAGTTTTATTTGACATTTCAATAAGTGGAACACAGCATTACAAATCCATCTAACTTTACTGAAACAATTATTGAAATTCATACCTTCAGGCCATGTATGTTCCGTTTCCCAGGAGGCTTGCAGGCTGAAACAGTAATTGACTAAATTGTAGAACACATCAGGGCCATTTACAAATTTGCTCAAAATGAATCTTTTAAAAAGAAATGAGGGTGACACCAAAATTAGCAGAGAGAAATGATTGAAAAGTGCCTCGCAAGACCCAGAGTGGGAATTATGAACCAGGATTTTTAACTTGCAGGAGTGAGCATTTATAAATGCTAAGAGCTTTCTGACACCATGTAATATAAATTCTAATTTCTGCTTAAAACACATCAAAATCAAGAGAACTATTGGCTTAAATTATCTTTTTGTAATTCAAATTAAAATCTTATGTCACTATATTTTCACACGCTGAATTTTTTGCTGGCATTTAATGGAAATATTTGCAAGATGTCTTTTAAAGGAATCAGCTGCCACATATCATGAATCAGTCATATTGTCAAAAACAGACAGTTGGGTTTAAATCTGGAACAGACAACAGCAGAGAGTCTCAGGAAAGCAAATACTGGATAAACACAGCACAAAATGCCACATTTTGGAGACAGATGTACAAATGTGGCATCTTATTATGATGTTTAGGTTTACAGAGGGACACGCTGCTGGAGGAGAAAGTATTTTCCTGAAGTCTCACAAACTAAATATTGCCTTGTTCCTCCATTCAGTGGATGTGCTTTTGTCAAATGTTAAAGCCACAAAGGCTCCCAGCTACATGTTACAGACAGTTCCCATTTTAAAACTACAGTGCCCTACAAATTGTATGTTAAAGGGCCTGTCACTTTTGATTGATTGTCTGAGGAGGGATGAATTTGATTTTTCTCTTTCTCTGATGCACATGCATTTCACTCCAATTTCTGACAGCAGGAAACAGAACTATTTATTAGTCAGAAGGACACAGATGATAGTTATTAAACACATCAGTTAGGGCCAGGCCCTGTGCCTTTAAATGACATTAAAAATTACCACGTGTATCTTAAAGAAAATATTATGATACTGTGGATGTTAAGAAAACCAAGCAGAAAACAATCAACTATTCTAAAACACATGTATTATATTTTTTTCCAATAGATTAAAAACATTTTGAAGAAGATATTAGAAGAATAAAATATTTTTTATGATACATATTTGCATGGCATAGTCACCTTGCATTTCACAGATGGGATATATGTAACAGACAGGATATAGGTAGATATGTATCTGCATACACAGAGGTTGCTTTTCAGTATAAAACAGGAACTCTGGCTCTTACTATCTAGATAGTAACAATGCTTTTTTTTTTTTAAAAACAGAGAAAATACCAGGTTTTTTTCCCCTTAAAAACCTTTAATACAGCACCACAGGGTGGCACATGGACATTTACTACTGGTTGGCTTTATGGAAGACACGAGTTTTTGGAAGCTGACTGGAGAGAGCAAGTGGGAGGCTTCCTCAGAACTAACAGGAGCATTAAAGGAGAAGGACCCAAAGGAAGATCAAGCTTGAAAGGAAGCTCTTAAAAAGTGAAACAAATTACAGGCAGAAAAGCTGCATATTACTGAAGCTTTAAACAGCAGCGTGTAGAGCCACAGCCAAAAGGGCATGGAAGAAAAGTGCTTGTGCTAATAAAATTTGGGACGTTCTTTAGAGAGGCAGGACAAGAAGACAGGAGGAAAAAAAAAAAGCAGGAAAGAGCATTTTGTTCAATATCACAGAAGAGCAGCAGCAGGACTTGGAGGTGGTCTGGGTATGGAGGCAGTGCAGGGGAGATTTAAAGCTGTAACCTAGAAAGAAGAGATGTTTTAAGAAGGTGATTTGGAAAGATGAAACAGCAGCTCAGCTCTGAAGCAACTTAGAGTAAGTGGCAAGCCACCTACGAGGAAATCCCCAACAGATATGTGCCTAGTTGAGCCAGTGGTGAAAATGTGGAGGTGATACGTGGGGATTGTATTCTCAGCAGCCTGCAGATGAATTCTGAAGCTCTACAGTCAAAGATTATCCTTGGATGTCAAGTCAACAGAGAAAAGAGACAACAGCAGGAGTAGGAATCTACTTGGCTGGTTCTTCAGGAACCACCCAAAAGGAGAATCTAGAAGGAGGTTTGGCCTGCTTTGTAATCCCAAAACATCCCTTCAAGCACTCAGACTTGCCAGCTACTGAGCACCTCCTGCCACAACTTCCTTGAACTGTTTGCTTAAGGGTCATTCCAAGGAAATAACAACATAAATAAAGGCATACTTCCAATAAAGGAAATTCCAAGGAGGGTTCCCCACCCACTAGGATCACAGAATGGTTTGGGTTGGAAGGGACCTTAAAAGATCATCTAGTTCCAGCCTCTCTGCCACAGGCAGGGACGCCAGGATCATCCACTGTTTCAGTTTCTCCAGGCCACATGAACGCCAAGCATTTTATTGCTTTCAAGTGGTGGTCAGTGGTTTTAGACAGTGTATGTCAGCAATTAAATGGCCTTCTGCAGGAAGAGGTTCAGAAGAAAGGCCTAGGAAGAGGCAGAAGAGAACTTCCCTGTCCATAGCTGTCCTTGCACTTGTCTCACGAGAAGACATCTCGACTGCTGATTGCTCTGGAGTCCCATGGCTCAGACAGCCAGGAGACCTCCTCACAATCAGATCCTGCCAGCCCCAGCCATAAAACCCCCACAATCTCTGTGGCCCCCCCCCCCCAC